AGTCCCTCTGTTGCTTGCCATTCTCTTTCTTTCTCTGGTTATATCTAAAGGGGTATAAACATACTAAACATTTGCGATATTGTTCATTAGAATGTGGAAATAAAGTTTTTGGAAAGATTTTGGGAAGAGACTCAAACTAATGTCTGAAATGTAATATATATTTGTGTCTTAGATTTGTTTAAACTCTCATTCTGATGGCACCCATTCATTGCAGAGGATCCATTGGTGAGCGAGTGATGTAATGCTAAATTTCTCCAAATCTGTTTTGATGAAGAAACAAACTCATCTACAACTTGGATTGCCTGAGGGTAAGTACATTTTCATGCACATTTTCATGTTTGGCTAAAAAAAAAAAACATTCTTTTGAAATTTATATGGAGAACCTGCTTTATTTTAAAGGAGGCATGTTGAGGCATCTTTGAATAGGCTGAGTTTGTCCTGCATTACTGCATCACTAGTAATGGTGCTGATTTGATGGTTTTACTGGAATAACAGATTCACTAACCCACATCCTGCTTTCCCCTTCAGAACTCGTCCGGCATTCTCTCAGGTTCTCCACCATGCCATTTACAACTCCTGTATTGTCTTCAAAACATCTGAACTACAGAAAAAAAGGGAAAAAAGGGATAGAAATCATGTGCAAAGAAAACATATTTGCTGAAGTTTTGTTTCCTAAAGACCTCTATTTATATCCGTCACACGTTTTACTTCAGTTATCATTTCTTAAAGTGGGTTTCTCTTTGAAAGTCAATTTCCTGATACATACCTTAACGTCTTGGCTACAAAAAAAAAAGCTATTGAACGTTTCCATCTGTATTGCCCAGAAAAACATTTTTTAGTTTACTGAACATGTTGAGATTAGCTGTCACAATAGAACTTGCTATTAAAGGCTTTTTGTCAAATTTAAATACGCTATATACAGTGGGGAAAAAAAGTATTTAGTCAGCCACCAATTGTGCAAGTTCTCCCACTTAAAAAGATGAGAGAGGCCTGTAATTTTCATCATAGGTATACCTCAACTATGAGAGACAAAATGAGAAAAAAAAATCCAGAAAATCACATTGTAGGATTTTTAAAGAATTTATTTGCAAATTATGGTGGAAAATAAGTATTTGGTCAATAACAAAATTTCATCTCAATACTTTGTTATATACACTTTGTTGGCAATGACAGAGGTCAAACGTTTTCTGTAAGTCTTCACAAGGTTGTCACACACTGTTGCTGGTATTTTGGCCCATTCCTCAAGAGCAGTAATGTTTTGGGGCTGTCACTGGGCAACACGGATTTTCAACTCCCAGAATGCAAAATCCCTCCATAGACCGTCACGGAAGAAACTAACAAGTGGATAGCATCCACTAAATGGCATTGATTATGTGTGATCATGTGGGTAGGTGCATTCTGTCCCCACAGTCGTTATTGTATCATTTCTCCATTACCGTTTTCATCTCAGTCAAAACTAAATTAATAAGGGTGCTTCATACAAGAAACCTTGAATTCAGCTCCAGCTGGTCTGGCATTCGAATTATTTAGGATCAGATCAGTGAACTTAAAAGAAGTCCAAAATTCCCATCCAGAGCTCAACAGCTGTCGAAAGCTGCAAAGTGTTCCAGGCTCCTTTTATGGTTCAAAACACTTTCAAGGGAAATTCAAAAGATGCTTTAATAGAGACATTTTGCCCCATTTTTGAAATTCTGTCATGATGTGATTCTATAATGACTGAGTCAACTTTTGCCGGCTAGATACTCATATAAAAGTAACAAAACACATGGGGATTTTGTTAATTTAGAGGCAAAATAATATTCTGAGAAAGCCAACACTAATTCATAATTGCAATATCAGAATCCTCAGGGTAAAACTGATGATATTTTTGGTCTTCGCTTTTGAAAATGCCCTTTTTTTCCAAGAGATCCTGCGGAACACTTAGAATTCTGAAAGATGTTGGAATGTCTGTTTCAGAATAAAAATTCAAAGAGAATAACACCAATCTCCTTCCATTTTCTCCAGACTGCCAATTTTACCATCTTAGAGCATATGTCTGAGGCATTAAAACATAAAGTTTTCTTGCTGAGGTGAAACACTGACATTTCTGTGACATGCATAATGGCCTGAAATGAAACATTTGTCAAAACAATGTATGTAAAACATAAAGAAAAGAGACTGAACCGTGACTTTCACACCCTGGAAAGGCAGAAGCATGCTAAGCTACAACACTCTCTTTCGAATTACGGGTATGTTGAAACATTACAGGCTTCTCAGTGGACACTATGTTTGCAGTCAGACACTCCAAAAGTGTTTTTCACTCAGTCTCCACTGTTACTTATGAGCACATTATTTCTCCCTCAGTGAGATATAATGTGGAATGATATGTTGTTCTTGTCGTCTCTCATTTGATAAATGCTCCATCCTCGGCTAATGGAAGATTTCTCACAGCTTCAGTACGCCGTAAAACTTCTCGGAAGCTCTTATAACTGTATAACCTCAGAGTGGGTTTGAATCATCCAAACATTCACCCTTCAGTATTATATATGCAGTGATGGATCAGCTTTATTTCAGCTAATTGCTAGCACAATTGCTTTTCATTATATTAATGCCTCATCAGTTTGACTGGGCCTTGATTAGTAAAAACCTGATGGAAAGCCTTTAAAATTTATTTTCATATCGTAAATTTTCACACATCCAAATTGAGAAATGAAGTGTGGTAAAAAGTCCAACCATGATTGTTTCATCAGCAATTACGAAATGATAAAACCTGAATATGACAATCCTGTTTAAAAGGATGTGAACCCATGAACCCACCTTCTGAGCGTGCTTATGGTAAACATTTGCCCAATTTTTCCATGTATTTGTCTTTCATAGAACTGAAAATGTGAAATCACATTGTTTGAAAATGTGGTAAAAGTCTTTACTTAATACTAAACTTCATATTAATGCAAAGTAACTTTCAAAGTAAACATATCTGGTACATCTATTTGCACTTAATTATGTTTATTTATACTACGTATTTATTTATAAATATAGTTTATGTATTATAGTTTCCAGAAGGATGCACGAAGAGGTAAAACAAATTGTGTATATTGATTTTTTCTTTATACTCAAGTGTGAATAGATTGCCACCTAGTGGAGGTGATTGGATGTTATAAATGGAAAAGAACACTTTTGACTGTAGTCTTTTTCATTTCATTAATTTATTGGAAAAATATATTTACAAAGAGACCATGAGTGAATATACCATTTTAACTATATAGCACTTTGTAAAGAGTCAAGTAAATACTGATGGCATAAAATATCATTGGCGCGATGTAGGCCTATTAAAGTAAAAAAAAAAGCATGTGTGTGATGCAAGTCATGTTTCTCAAGCTCTTTAGATTAAGCAACTGTCTTCTACTATTAACAATTTATTTCCATTTTCCATCTTCAATGGAAATGTTGCTTTATGTTAAAAAGACACCTGTGGGTAAATCATGATAATCTGTTTTCAATAGTAGTCAAATGCATCATATAAACATTAGTTAAACAATGACATGTATCAATAAAAACCACAAGAACAAGTGGTACGGTCCTTAAAATCGAAATGAAGTACATGGATTCTATTGTTTGTTTGGACGTGAAGTTTTTGAGTCAGATCGAGGATAGCAGGACTGGGGCCTTTGGGTGCATCCAAAATCATTAACTGCTTGAGTCGAGGCAGATGCTGAAGTTGGAGAAACACTGGAACATTATGGTGTCTGAAAGAGAGAAGTTGATTAGAATGAAGTTAACCGAGGTCAGACACGCATACAATGTTTACTCATTCTGACATAATATATTTACAGTTCATGACAATGAACTCTCACCTCACTTTCAGGATATGCAGCTTTGGGAAAACCTGGGGCATTTCTGTGATTACATCACAGATGTCATATAACAACACAAGTCCAAATGGAGATGAAGGAGATCCGGCACCTGCTCTACCACAATCCTGACAGACTCCAACTCTGCCTTCACTGTATTGATTCTGCATAAACTCTGAGTGGGTATCCTACTAGAAAACACAGAGAAAGGACAAAAATATAGAGGGAATTACTGCATAAAAATCAAATAAGTTCTGAATTGAGTCTTATCTTCCTTAACATGCTTGTGTTAATGATCCAAACATTCTGAAACAGAAACTAGGGCTGTCAGCAGATTAAAATCAATGGAAACACTTTACAATAAGGTTCCATTTGTTAACATTAGTTAGCATGAAATAACAGTGAAAAATACTTCTAAAGCGTTTATTAATCTTAGTGAATTAAAACATTTACTAATGTATTATTAAAATCAAAAGTTGCATCTGTTAATGTTATTTAATGGACCTGAGCTAGCATGAACAGTTAACTAACATTAATAAAGATTAATAAATTTTGTAACAAATGTATTGCTCATTGTTAGTTAATATTAATGCATTATTATTTACATTAACTAATGGGACCTTAATGTAAAATGTTACCCAAACAACGAAAATAACAATAAAATAATTTAACACAATAATAAATATTATTATTAATATTAAAATGGTATATAACTGCTCTTAAATATTTTGAATAATAATTATTATTATTATTTAATTTTTCTGTGGGTCTCCAATTAAGCTATGAAAAACCTGACTGAGTTTATCTTGTCTATGATAAAAAATAGGCAAGTAAGGAATTTGTTTTGTTGGTATTTTAATTGTTACATTATTTTATCTTACGTAATGGTGTAATGAAATGTGTTCACGGTTTAAAGTAAAAAAAAAAACATTATTTTCCACATACTGTACATTATTGTTTCTCCTCTATGCCCCGCCTTTCTGAAACGTGTCGATTTTTACAAAGCTCATCGGTCTGAAAAGCGAGGTGTGCTGTCTTTAAGTTCCCCGGGTTGAAGACCCTTTTCTGTCTTTGCCAAGGCTACAATGAAGAATAACCAGCATTGGGCGTTTTTCATACTTACAAGAAATGTTGAGCTCTGAGAGTACATGGAGCCCTTGCAAACATTTTGTGAGGCAGCAGAAGCTTGGATCTTTAAGCCATTGTTTGTAATGCACTGTTAGTTTGGTCAGGGAGGACAGACTGTTAAAGACAACAGAGGAGAGTCAGGGGTCTTCTTCTTAGTTCAGCAGCTTCAGGCTGCTCAGGCCAAACTCTGCATCTGGAGTCACTCCTGTGTGAAAGACAAGATGGGATGGGTGATGGCACTACAAAGTTCTTCACCATAGTTTTCTACCGTAATTTTACCGTTAAAAAAATGTACCGTAAAAAAATACGGTAGCAACATTTTAGGTTTTACGGTTTTAACTTAAATTTACAGTTAAATACCGTAATTTCATTAACTGATATTTACTTTTACATTTAGTCATTTAGCAGACGCTTTTATCCAAAGCGACTTACAAATGAGGACAATAAAAGCAGTCAAAACTAACAAAAGAGCAACAATATATAAGTGCAAATGACAAGTAGCATTTGACACGTAGCACGTATATTATATATATTATATATATAATATATATATATTATACAAACACACATATACACACACACACACAAAGAAAAACAAGTATATAGAATAGAAAAAATAGAAAGCTAGTGTT